TGATCGGTTGAAAATTCAGGTCTTTAGAGAATTTTCAACTAAGAATGTCATCTGACCCCACTGTGCGGCGAAGCGACGACGCGGCGTCGCAGACTCTGCGAGGGCGCAGCCAGTCGCGGAGAGTAATCCGCCGCGCACGCAGATATTAGAGTCTCAGATGTTGCAGGTCGAATTAACAATCTTGAGCCGAAGTCATTTGGAAGTCTCGCGCGCGCAAATGAGGAGCCGCATGTACAGCGCGCGCGCGCGCGTGCATGGACTCGCGCTCCGGCGCGGTAATTTACGGTAATGTTTCAATCTCTGTACCTACACGGACTCGTTAATTGGACGGAATAATTGATACGATAATGCGGCGCCCGGCGATTAGTCTACGGAGAGAAAACCGGATTTCCAGCGCGCGCGCGCGCGAAGTTCGAGAACGTTTCGCGGAAGATTTCAATCACGCCCGCGCGCGCTCTCGCTGATTACAGCGGAGATAATACCGCATCCCCGCGAATTCCGAGATTGTTGTGTATCCTCTGTTTTTAATAATCCTCCTCCCGTCGTTAAGTTCCTTGGGGGATCCGAGCGGGAGGCGAGTCCTCGATCGCGGCGACTTTGCGCGGCGATCGCCTCGTAAAGATTTTACGACGACTGTTAGGCGAGCGAGCGGCGCGCTTTTATCGCTTTCTCGATAGTTGAGCGTTGTTTGATCGCTGTTGATTTAATCGCCGCGAGATTATTACGTTATTCTTTATTTATCCGCCGGTCCCGGCCACCCCGCTCGACTTTGTCGGGTTTATTCGCGATCAAGAGAATTAAAATCCGAGTAAGCGTTGCTCCGGGCTCCCTCTCTCTCTTTCTCTCTTAATACATTTCAAGTCGTTATTTAATAATAAGTTGTTAAACAGTTTACGTTGTATCAATGCCGATTTCGTCTGTCTCATTGAACTTTCAAAGTCAAACTTTTGCTTTAACGATTTTACCCAACTGGCGGGGACGAAAGTCAGAAACGGCGATTTCTCTTTGCAATCTCGTTGCGATCGTTTCCCCGCACCAAGAGAAAGAGACAGTTAATTGCATAACCATTTTCGGGGTGTCGATTTTATTTATTTTTACCCTTCCTAACGAAAAAATACCGCGCATGATCTTGACGCGCGCATAACATTAATTTACCGTGGCCCAGCGTTTACTATAAAAAAATTATTTTACAATCTACAGCCATCAGCTGCAGCCATAATCGCATATACCGGCTACTTCTATCTCTCTCTGTGTATATCCACGTCTGCTCATTCGCGATTTACTCTCCTTGACGGGCTCTCTCGTCCAACATCACGTTCGCGTACGTTCGCACGCGCGCGTGCTGTTTTTTACAATCATTTTCTCAAATATTTGCCATGGAAGATTGCTTCTATCTCGCTCCCACCCCCCTCCTCCTCCCTCGCTCTTTCTCTCTGTCTCTCTCGCGGTTATCTCGATGATACAACGTAAAGTGGTGCTACATGACACGCCTTTCCCTTCGACCGCAACAATCGAACCGTTTCTCGTTACCATTCGGCTTTATTACATGCGCTCGCCCGGCCATGTTTATATGCCGAGCAACAACGGCGCCGTCCGACGCGACCCGATTAAAAAGTGCGATAGAATTTTCACGCAACAGCGTGGCCCAATAATCGATTTCCCGCTGGCGTATCATACAGCTCGATAACACACACACACACACATACACATGCGCGAGCGCTTTGGCGAGCCGTGCGACCTGGGGCAGCGAGAAACCCACTTCCGCCACGTCCCCGATTGCTTCGTCCCGATAAAGAGCTCGTCGATCGGCCACTCGAGATCGCGACAAAACGTCGCTAATTGTCCCATCTACTCGCGGAGATGACCAGTCATCGTTGTTGCCGTCGTCGTCCCGTCGTTTCTTGAATTGCCCGCGCGCTCTTATCTCAAATCGCTCGCTCATTCTCCCTTCACATTCCTCGCTCCTGTGTTGTATTTTACAAAAAAGAAAAAGAAGAAAAAAGAGAAAGAGAGAACGGGAGAGAGTAAGAAAAATCAATAATCTTCCACTCGTCGCTTTATCCTCGTGCTCGCGGAAAGTATTTTAATAAGCTCTTTTTCAGTTGCGCGCACATACGTCGGGCCGCTGGTTAAATTTGCAACGTTATAGATGGCCCGATTTGGGTTTAAATAGAATTCGGAAAGGCCGAGGAAAGAACACGAGTGAACGAGAGAGAGAGAGAGAGAGAGAGGGAGAGAGAACCGGTTCGGCAAAAACGACCGTAACGTTCAATTTATCAGGCCAATTTACCAAGTATCGCATTTCGTTTCGACCGCCGACACTTTGATGAGGTTAAAGCTGATTTCCCTCACCGATAAAAATCCGATAGCATTCACGTTCCTCTTTGCCGCTCCTTCTTCTCCCCTCTTCTTTCTTTTTTTAATTTCAGCTTTAAACACGGGGGGAGAAAGGGAGAGAGAGAGAGAGAGAGAGAGAGAGAGAGAGAGAGAGAGAGAGAGAGAGAGAAAGAGGGAGAGAGAGAGAAAGAGGGAGAGAGAAAGAGAGAGAGAGACAGAGAGAGCGCTCTCGCGCACTCGGCGCAAATTAAACGCGGCCGATCGCGATGTTCGCGCAATAATAATGTTGAACGGCAATAGCAAACGATGCATAGATGACGGTGGATGACAAACGCGCGTCAGGTGTCACGCGACGCATGATATCGTATGTTGCAATGGGGGGTCCAGATAGTGACGAGTTGCTTGGATTTATGAGGCTCGGTCAAATGACAGGCGTCTCATAGAGGTAGTTTATCGATAGCGTTAAACCCATCGCGCTATGACGTTGTTGCTGCAAAATACGATAAAAATTGCCGAGCTCGGCTCGACAGTGTCCGGCGACTATGTCTGTTTTGGGAAAAAGCTTGATAAATTCGCGGAGAGGCAGAGAGAAGGAGTTCGGAAATCTGTCAAAAATCTTAAGGATAACATTTAACATTCCCTAACCAATTTGCAGCGATTGAGTGTATTAAGTACACGCAGATGCTTTAGTACTTTTTCAGCCCTCTAATATAATTATTTAAAAAATTTTTATAAATTATTTTATATATCGAAATATTTTGTAAGGTCGGTATGGAACTTTCTAAGACGTCATTCATTACGATTCACGAGCGCATCAATAAGCTAAACTGCAAGCCGAGTGTATATTTAAAATAAATTTGCACGAGTACAAGATCGAAAAAATGTTAAAAGATTTAGCAAAATCGTTTCCTGGAAAAGAATTCTGAAAAAGCAAGGCAATTAGATTGCCATGTACAATTCCGAACTCTCTCAACTTCCGTCTGTCCAACTCGACTCGTATTAGATATATGCAAAAGTTTTAGTTTTCTTTCAACCCCCTAATGAAAATATTTTAAATTGAAGTATTTTCTCGCCGGTTTGTGTTCTTGTAAGGTCGGTGTTGAATTCTATTCTAAGACGCCATTCATTATGAATCATTGGTGCACATAACCTTAAAAATAACTGTTGATACAATGAGCAACGAAAAACTTTATATTTGCCACTGATGTAGAAGGCTGTCTGACGTCCACCCACGAATATCTGCGTTTAGGATCATCATATATAATCGATTTTCCTTTAGGATTATCATATACAATCTATTTTTCATCGCCAGTAATAATTTTCGACAAAAAATCTTTTTTACACCGTCTGGAAAACAATAAGAGGCGTGTACTTAATCGGCGGATGATGCTGTTTTGCGACAATTCACGCGGCACCTATTTTCCGAGCTTCTGAATTCTTCTCATGCAATCGCCTTGAAGCTGTTGCTTGGTCAACTCTGAGCTGTTCTGCAAGTTCTCCTCGTGTTTGGGACGAGTTTTCATTCAACAATGTTTCCAAATTGTCGACTCAAACTTTCGTGGCATTGCAGAGCGCGGACGATCACTCTCACGTCAAAATCACCGTCTTTAAAGGGACGAAAGCAATATTTGCACTATTGTGGGACACAATATTTGCCCCGGGAACAGAGCAAATGGATTCACGTGCTTTAGCAGCGTCTTTTCCTTGCTGGAATTCATGTCGAATGCAGTGTCGAATATAAAGTTTTCCGCCGCTTATTGTATCAACTGTTATTTTTAAGATTATGTATCTCAATGGATAATGAATGACGTTTCAGAAAGTTCAATATCAACTTCACAAAAACGGTGGGCAAATATTTCAATTTAAAATAATAAAATAAAATAATAATAAAATTAAATAATAATAGTAATAAAATAATAATAAAAATAATAAAATAAAAAATAAAATTTTATTAGAGGACTGAAGAAAGACTAAAACTTTTGCATACTACACCTAATATCTCGGAGGGATCTAGATGCGCGTTTAATAATGTTTTTGCTATTGTGGGCTTCGTAATATACTTAACAAGCGCGTAACAAACGAGTTTATCAAAGAAATTGCGACTGCCGATGGCATAATTTGTTAAGTCTTGTCGGCGCGAATAACGTCGAAACGAGTGTGCGCGATTTTTCCACATGCTTTTTCGTCTTCGCTCTGTCGATTCCTCATTGCGCTTAATTTTAATTCGAAACCTCAGCTGTCGCAAGTAATAGCGACGTTGCGGACAATATCGCCTCAACCGAGAACCAGGAAGTCAGTCGGCTTTGCTTGCTTACCAATCAACAAGTGGAAGGCGGGGTTCGAATAAAAATTGATAAGAATAAAGGATCGTGCGACAGGGCGGCGATGTGAGCGAGAGCGAAATGTGAGTGAGCTCTTCGTCGTTTGTAGGAAAATCGTGTAGAAGAGACACACCCTCGCTTTGACGCGATCCTCTCCGAAAGAACAGAAGAGCCCAGCGCTCATGCTTCGGCTCTGTTCGACTCTGCGTATTTTCAATCGGCGATTCAAAACACACACACACACACACACACACAGTTTAGAACGAAAGAAGCGATTCAATTGATGCAAACCGCCCGCGCCGTCGGAGACTCGTTATCATCAGCTTGATCTCCCACTTGCAGATCCTGGTGGCTGGACAAGGTCTCAACGATGACATGTGGCACACGCTGAGGTTCTCCAGACGGTCCAACTCGCTGAAGTTCCAGGTTGACGACGAACCAGCGGTGCGAGGTGCGTATGTATGTGTCGCGAAACGCGGATATTGCGGCGCGGAATGTCATTCTCTCCATGCCGCATCGCCCGCGCGGTTGAATTCATATTAATATTTACGGGACTTTGTGTGTTGTAAGGGCCGGTTAAATGTAAAATGTGATAAAGTGTCGGGAAGTGGGAAGGAAGGCCGGTTAATTTAAACGGCAGACGTGAACTGCATTATTAACGCGGCACCGGGAAACGGGATGCCATTGGGCGTACAAAATGCGGCAAATTGTATGTCGGTACCAGATGCAAAACAGTTGATTGGTTTGGTGCAGCGGCGACGGTGCGAGCGGCGTCATCGATCGCAAGGTGCAAGGGACAGCGGGAAGAAAAAGACAATTCTATTTCAGCGCGTTGACAGACGCGGCAGACAGAGAATTCAAAAGCGCACTTCTCGTCCCGCCCCGCTCTACGTACCTACCGTTGCCGTCGCTGCAAAAAGCAATCGCTTTCTGCTGAGTAGAGAGGGAGAGAGAGAGAGAGAGAGAGAGAGAGAGGAAGGAGAAACGCGCGAAATAACGTCGGATAATTGACCGACGACAATTATCCAGCCAATTGTCGATTCTACGTCATTTGTGTTTGTCACTTTAACTTGATCCACTATTATTTTACCCCGCGACGACGCTGAGCCAAAGTCGGAATGTTGGTCAGCGCAGTTTGTTACCTCTTTCTTTTTTCTTTTACGTCAAAGCGAGCGTTTCCTCTGCCTTTTCTCTCGTGCCTTTGTCCGTCTTTCGTTTCCGTAATTTCTTTATTCATTTATTCTTGTTAATTCCCGCTCAAATTCCCCGCATTTCTTTCTGTCCTTAATGGCCAACGAACGATGAGTAAAACTGATGCGAATATTTCTCACAATATCGGTTTTGCTCGCGGTAGTTAAGGGACTCGGACGAAAATCCAATTGTCCGCTCCGATCGCCCGGTCGACGCTTTATTCCCGTTAATTTCAATTCAAATCCGCAATGAAACGCGTCATCTCTCAACTACATTCCCGCGAATCGAGCCTCTCTGCCTTCGCTTCTCGGCTCGTTACGCGGCTGGCTCGCGCACATCCGTTATACATCGCCGTAATTCCTCGGTAAACAGCCCGTAATAGAATTTCATAAAATGTACATGTGACCGCAAGCGCGGTAGCGATAAATCTATTAAGCGGCGCTCGCGTAGCGTGTAGTAGCCAAGTATCGACACGAGCACCTTTGCTTTTACCGTAATCAATATACCGTTTTCCCGCGCGCGCGCGCGCGCGCGCACGCGTGCTAAAGCTGTTACACGCAGGCGGTAAGATCGCCCTGTAATTAAAGCCGAATTAGCGCTCGCTACGGGAGCAAAGGGAGAAAATTGAATCGAGATCTCCCATGCCGTTTTTCCGATGCTGAATCTCCCCTCCCCCCTTCCTTCCTCTCTCTCTCTCTCTCGCTCTCTCGCTCTCTCGCTCTCTCGCTCTCTCGCTCTCTCGCTCTCTCGCTCTCTCGCTCTCTCGCTCTCTCGCTCTCTCGCTCTCTCGCTCTCTCGCTCTCTCGCTCTCTCGCTCTCTCGCTCTCTCGCTCTCTCGCTCTCTCGCTCTCTCGCTCTCTCTCTCTCTCTCTCTCTCTCTCTCTCTCTTCTCTCTCTCTCTCTCTCTCTCTCTCTCTCTCTCTCTCTCTCTCTCTCTCTCTCTCTCTCTCTCTCTCTCTCTCTCTCTCTCTCTCTCTCTCTCTCTCTCTCTCTCTCTCTTGTCCTCCCAGACTCGTCATCTCTGATTCATTTCTCAGGCATTTATTTTCGGTCTACAGTTGATTGTCATTTCGTGTTCTCGCAGAGACTCATATCGAGTCGGGACGCTAAATAAATTCTACCGCTCGATCGCACATACGTGGTGCATTTAGCCAGCAAACGTCGTGTCGTTTGTTTGCTGTATACGATGCTCGGCCGCGCGCGTTCTGTCTTATTTATCGAAACCGTTTATGTTTGCTCTATTGACATTTATTATACGCCACGCGCCCGTGACAATTCACTTTGAAATATGAAACAAATGCCCGACGGCGAGCCGCGGCAAATTATTCATTCGAGATATGTTTTCGAGCCGCACGCTCCTCGCCCTGCTCTTTTACCGTGCAGATTACCCTCTTGTTTAATGTGCCCACTTTACGACCAAATACTCCTCTTTTTGCCGCTCTCGCGCTATCAAGAGTATTTACTTCGCTTTTATCCGCGTGAAAGGAGGAAACGAACGGATGGCGATACACACATACGACCGACGAGACGATTCCTCGTCAAAGGGCGCGTAAGACTCGGACCCGGCAGTCACCTCGCCGGGCTGTAAAAACGTCGGCGACGCGGGCTACAACTTTTTCTTTTTTTTTTTGAAATCTTATACGTCGCGTTACAAGTTTCCGCAGGGAGAAATTCTCCAATTCCTCTTGGTCCTCCTCCTCCTCCTCCACCCGCTCTCGCGACGTCTCTCGATGCGACGGCCACTTTGCACGTCACATCGATTGCACCGGCTCGAATAAGGATTCTTATGCACCGCATGCATGTGTACGTTTGAACTTCTCGCCGCGCAAGGCGAGAGGCAACCCACGCGAGGGAGCAATATCGTATTTCAAAATCCCTATTTAGCATAAATATCTGACGGCGGCCACAAAATTCCGCGCCAGCCGCAGAGCCGGGCGAGAAAGAAGTAGGAAAATGTGTATAGACAGATATACATACAGACTGAAAGAGAGAGAGAGAGAGAGCGAGAGAGCGAGAGAGCGAGAGAGCGAGAGAAAAAGAGAGAGAGAGAGAGAGAGAGAGAGAGAGAGAGGGAGAGAGACACGCGATAATACGGAATGTAAAAACGACACGAAGCGTTCGCCTCGCACGAGCCTGTCCTGCCGCGAACGCGATCTCGCACACTCATCGCATGATTAATCGCGACACTCGCCCCCGTAACGATCCCGTAATTCTATTTAATTTCCATTATTATTCCTGGACAGGGAAAGGGAAGGGGAAGCGTTAAAAACGCCGTCGATAATCACCCTCGAGTCGCGCCGCCTGCGCCGCGGCGCTCGGCGAATCCGAGGGGAGAGTTGTCGGTATTTCCGATCGTCCGTAAAGAGCGGCCCTCTCGTCGGGAAATAAGAAGTCGGGCCCGAACATTTCCCAGGAGTCATTATCCGGCGCCGCGCGCGGAAAGATAAGCACAAACAACGATAGATGAGACTGCCGATCCTAATTATCTCGCGGCGGAGTTATAGCGTCCTCGAAATTGGGAAACCGAGATATCTATACAGAGTGTGTAAAAAGTATAGGGACGGCGAAATATCTCGGAAACTAAGCATTTTAGAAAAACATATTTCCGACGAAAGTTATATGGTTTCAAGGATAACATAAAACAACTATATCGATTTGTTTACAGATGACGTCACTTTCGAGATATTCACTGGATCATGGAAACCCTAATTTTTTATTGTATCATCTTTTTCTATCAATCATCTTTTTCTATCGATTAATTTTAGCAACTTTGGTCTGAAACATTTTTATTTGCCTAATTTTTTTTATTGGCCTAATGTTTTGTTACATATGTAAGGAAAACTTTTGGTAACTTTTTCAATATTTAGCTTACGATATCTCGCTATTTGTCGGAAAAAAGTGGTACTATACTTCTTTACTCTATTTGGTTTCAAGAATATATTGTTGCAATAACGCTCTGACTTTTGTTAATTTGATGATTTTGAAGTTTACAAACTCGATAAGTTAATACAAGTCAGAGCACTATTGTAACAATATATTCTTGAGACTAAATAGAGTAAAGTCTAGTACTATTTTTTTTCCGACGAATGCTTAGCGAGATATCGTAAATATTGAAAAAGTTGTCCTTAAATATCCCAAAAAATATTAGAAATAGCAAATAAGAAAATGTTTCAGACAAAAGTTGTCTAAATTAAATGATAGAAAAAGGTGATATAATAAAAAGTTGATGTTTCTATTTAAGAAAATTAATGATCAGTGAATATCTCGAAAGTGGCGTTATCTGTAAACAAAATGATATAGTTATTTTATATCCCGCTTGAAACTTACAACTCTTGTTCAAAATCTTTTTTTCTAAAATGCTCAATTTTCCAGATATTTCGCTATCCCGGTACTTTTTATACACCCTATATATTCATGAGAATCGCGCACGCATGTTTGTGTGTGTGTCCGTATGTACGAGTGTATTCGGTGGAAGAAAAGAGGAGAATATACAGACGCGGAAAGCTCGGAAAAGAGGGAGCGAGAGAGGCAGTGGGAGAGAGATAGAAAGAAAGGAAGAGAGAGAGAGAGAGAGAGAGAGAGAGAGAGAGAGAGAGAGAGAGAGAGAGAGAGAGAGAGAGAGGAAGAGTAAGGATTAACTGCACCGCACGACCAAATTGCCCCGGGCGTATAAATACAGATGTACATGCGAGGGTGGATTCGCCATGGAGAGGATTCCCCTCCGATAATCAATTCCCACATCCAGATTTATCAGTCGCCGGGTTCACCGCGGCGAATCATTCGGTCTACCGAGATTTACTGCGCGAACGTCGTAGGACACGTGGTCGCCGCGGCGTGGTGAGATTTCCTCGCGCGGAAACGACCCCCCCGTCCCCCTCGATCATCGCAGCCACGCGATATGATGCTCGGCTCGTCGTCGATGTTGTTATTTGTTGTCGAAGCGTCGAGTCGGGGAAATCGCTATTTTGACGATCATCCTGCCTCTTTCCGGCCAAACGAATCGTCGGGAAAAAGCCAGCTGACTTTCGTGAAGAATTTTCAGCGGGGGAAATTGCAACAATAATTCGTCCAGGAGGCGCTTGATGTTAATTTTGACTCTCGTCGGAGGAACGTGCGTTTCGTCGATTCACTCGATGAAAATACATCGTCACCGCATATCATAGCAATGTCGATTGCAGTTTCAACTCAGCGCGAGCAACGACCCCTGGAGATAATTCGACGAGCGAGTCGAGTCGAGCGATCGCGCCAACTTGTCCGCGC